AATTTCTTCTATGGTAATAACATTCTTACGGGGCGGGGGGAGTGGTCACTTGAAAGTGAGTTGTGTTAGCGTTGAGATCCCACTAAGCATAACCCAGGTTGCCCAAAAATGTTTAGATGAAAATTAGAAAGTAGTTGGAATATGGCTTGGACATAAGACCTTTCAGACACAGAAGCAAAGAAAATGAGGGCAAATTTTGCCAAGTTGTAGGAAGCCAGGGGCCCCTAGGAGGAAGATGGGTACTAGGAAATTCTCTTTGTTGGGATCTGCAGGGAACTTGGATATATTCTATTTTGAGTGGTTTGCTGAGTTCATTTCCATTGTCCCAACTTTCAGTAAAAGCCTGCTGTACCCCTCAGACTAGGTTGATAGTACTTTGGAGAAAAACTGTCCAGGGAGAGCAGAGTATAGCAGCAGAAGGCAAGATGTGAACTAGAATGAGAGTTCAGTGGGAAATGAAAATCAGAGTTGGGGTGAATATGAGGACTTGGAATCCACAGAATGGCAGCTTGGAGCGTGGGTTTCCTACAGTGTGGTTCTGTCTTTGTTGACTTCTATTAAATAGAAAGTGTAGATAGCTTGCGGCAACTCAGGAGACATCTAAGTGATGAAAGTTTAATCCCTTTTGTCATGCTAACTGCTGACATTTAACTTACTTGACTTTAAGTTTTATGAAAAATCGAGTACCAAATATTGATTACTAATTTTATATATTCTGTATACCTTTCACCCAAACTGCTCATACCACTCGATAACATTTCTCATTGGAACAGACAGTAAGGGTAGTGACTGTTACTGATTTAAAATCACCTAGTTCTTTTCCATGAGGGTAGATGATACAGACTTGTGGATATAATGGGCTTGGAAGTCAGGAGTACCTGGGATCCACTCCTAGCTCCACCACTCATTTAGTTGTGTACTCTGACCAGATAACACACTTTTTCTCAGCCGGGGTTATTAGAGAGGTGAAACCTTACAGGATTGTTGCAAGGATTAAGTTCACACGAGCAGCATCCATCTGCCTTCCAGGCACATAACATCCTTCTTTATTACTACCCTATGATGGTTCACTGCCCAGCTTACTATTAGTTTAAAAACACATTAAAAAATTATGATGGGCTCAATAGCCAACTAGCAGTAATCCTAAAAAACTGAGTGCAGTTGAAGTGCTGCCTTGCCCTAAGCATCATTCCACATTTGCTGCTGTTCTGTCCTATTACCTTGGCTCATTTAGAGTCGCTAACCTTGCTGAAGACTTTTAAAGATCTTAAATTGCTTCTTGTGAAAGGATCAGAAATAAAATATACTTTTATTGTCAAAAAATGCCAAATATTTCCTTAGTGTGTTTAATTATCTAAATGTGTGGGTTGAGTTTCTGTCATTATCTGCAATATATAGCATACAGTCTTGACAGAATGAATCAGAAGAGATTACGCATGAACATGTGCACTGTAGCCTGAATGCTCCCAACTGGGGCAGGGGTGTATTCAGTGAGAGCTGTGAACAAAGTATTCCCAGTTGACCCAGGGAGTAGATTCTAGAACAGCAATTAAAATTTCACTGTTACAGATTCCTAGTATGAATCAGATGAGCTTAGTTTTCTGGCTAGGCGAAATAAATTGGACTTGATACAACTAGGATTTAGCTCTCTACAAATCTTTGCATTACTGAATGGTACCTCTGCTTTTGGGGTTGCAACTTGTGTTATGGTGAAATAGGGGTTCTGTGTCTGTTTTGGTGGCTGATGTGTGATGAGACAGGAATTGGTTTGCCTAGGGCTTGCTCCTTGGAAGAAAAGCTGTGACAAACCTAGACAGCATATTAAAAAGCAGAGACATCACTTTGCCAACAAAGGTCCATGTATTCAAAGCTGTGGTTTTCCCATTAATCATGTATGGGTGTGAGAGTTGGACCAGAAAGGAAGCTGACACAATTGCTCCTTTCCAAGTTTAAAGATGAGTTTGTTGTCCCTTGACTTGACTTTGCTTACTTACTTCATCAGTAAAGTTTCCAGTTTCATCAGGATTGGCAGGTAATTGAAGACTCGAGAATCCCCTGAATAGCAAAGAGATCAAGCCAGTCAATCCTAAAGGAATGTAACCCTGAATATTCATCTGAGGAACTGATGCCGAAGCTGAAGCTCCAATAGTTTGACCTCCTGATGCAAAGTCCAGCTCATTGGAAAAGACCCTCATGCTGGGAAAGATTGAGGGCAGGAGGAGAAGGGAACAATAGAGGATGAGATGATTGGATGGTATCACCAATTCAATGGATATGAGCTTGAGCAAACTCTGGGAGATGGTGAAGGACAGGAAAGGCTGGTGTGCTGCAGTCCATGGGGCTGCAAAGGGTCAGACGTGACTTGGCGACTGAACAACCACCGTAACAACGCTGTACATTAACATCCAGGCAGGAAAGGCTAATGGTTGGCATAGGAGGTCAGCTATCAGGGCTGCAGGTCTTGGTTCTGGCTGAGGTATCAGGAGCCTGGCACTCAGGCACAAGAGAACGTAAAAGCTGCTGAAGTCCTAGAACTACAGTACAGTGTGGAAATTTGGTGAAGGAAGAAAGAATCTGATTCACCTGAGCTACTTTGGTAGGAGTTTCTTAGTTTTCCCAAAGTAAATACAGGACTGTTCTTAGTGTAGGGGACAAGACTGAGTTGGGAGTTAGGGCCTAATGGCGAGTAGAGGGTAAAGGAGATGGTTGTGGGAATGAAAGCAGCTGAGATAATTCAGGAGATTTCTCTGACATGAGCATGTTTTCAGCTGCTTAATTAAAAAAGAAAAATTATATGTTATTTGACCTCAGTAACACCTCCTTACCTCTCCTGTCCCCATCCTTGAGTCTCACTTGCAGAGGCCATCACTTTCAATTCTTGAAACTTTTGGGGGGGAGTTTGCCTTTATATTTATAAATAACATGCTTATAATGCTATTTCTTGATTTTTTTCAATATTGGACATGATCTAGAGGCTTCCTACTGGGAAAGATTACTCTGGTTTTATATTCTCCACCCAGCCTTTCCTCTTTCTTACTCCTAGATACTCATCTTTTCCATGTAGTTGATATTTTAAATTGATTGACAGATTTAACTATGTAAATTAATAAATTATATTTATTTGGTTATTATGACTTTGTGTACCATGATTGTTCTTATTTCTGGTAAAGCGTTTAGTGTTTCCTGGAGTTAATTATTTCTTTTTTCTCATTTGCATGTAATCTTTATTCTCTGACAGAACTGTAAAGCTCATGTAATATAAACTCATCAGATTGTATGTCAGTTTTCACTTTGGAGACATTTCTTCCAATTTTCCTTCATTGGCTGCTGCATAGCTATCATGGAAATAGTTTTCACCCTTTCCTGAATCCAAAATCTTTTCGTTGTTGTTCTGGAGGTATGATATTATGTAACTGAGATAGGAGGGAAAATATTTTGAGAAATTTACATCCCTGAAAATTGTTCTTCTTTCCCCTCTCTCAGATTTTTGGTTGGCTGCTGCTGTTCTTGCTTAGTTGCTAAGTCACGTCCAATTCTTCTGTGATCCCATTAACTGCAGCCTGTCAGGCTCCTCCATGCATGGGATTTCCTAGACAAGAATACTGGAGTGGCTTTCCATTTCTTTTTCTATGGGATCTTCCTGAGCCAGGTTTCAAACCCATGTCTCCTGCATTGCTGGGCAGATTCTTTCCCACTGAGCCTCCAGGGAAGCCCTTTTGGTTGGCTAGATATGAAATTCTCTGTTAGAAGTCATTTTCCTTCAGAATAATGAAGGCATTGCTCTAGTGTCTTTCTAGCTTTCATAATTGCTTCTGAGAAATAGGATGCCATTCTGATTCCTGTTCAATTGTATATAAACTGTCCTTTCTAGAAAATTTTAGAGTCTTTTTTGGTGTTGTGAAATTTCAAGCGGTAGTGTTCTGAAGTAGTTCTTCTTTTTAAAATTCAGTCCTTATTCTCTTTATTCTGAGGTTTTAAATCAATCTTTTCAATGTGAAACTCATGTCTTTCAGTTATGAGCAATCCTGTCTTTGAAAATTTCTACTTTGTTTTTTTCCATTCTGTTTTGGGGATTCTTATTTTTCCATTGTTGAGTTTCTTGAAATAGTTTCATTTCTTTCTTCTTTTTCCGCCTGTTTTGCTCTTTGACTTATTGTTCTATTTCTTAGAAAATGTCAATTATTATTCCCCATCCTGCTTCTGAAGCTTTTTCCTTTAAATTTGTGCTGTTACATTTTCATTTTCCAAGGTACTTTTGTTTGTTTTCTGAAGGTTGGAAGCTTCTAGTCTTGTATTGCTAATGATCTAAAGATTTTTTTTCTGTTCCTTGCTTGATCATTTTCTTCAGAGTTTCCTTCCTTCTGTTTTCTTTGCTGTTTAATTTTTATGTTAAATGGTCTTTACATACGTGATTGTCCTTGTCCAGCCTTTTAGTTTTAAAAGTGAGATACTAAAATATAAGCAGAACAGTATATGGGCAAGTTTTGTTAACTAGTGGGAAACTGGACATTTCCTAGGGGGACCCAGCATTGCCAGTAGCTGTGGGTCTTTTCTTTTGGGCCAGTTTTCTCAGCGAAATCCTCCTGGCTAGATGCATAGACAGACTTGTGTTATAGAACTGAGGAGAAAAGGGTGTTTTTGTGGATGGGGAAGGGCTCATTGCTCCCAGGCAGAATCTCCCTCAGTCCCACTGCTTTTAGGAACAAGCCTGACTCCTATTTACACTGAGTCCTCTCTGGTCCCACACCTCCAAATACTGACTCTTTAAGGCATCTTTCTAGGGAGAAGCACCAGACACAGGAGAGAACGTCTGGAGTGTGTGCGCTGCCCAGTATAACTGGGGTCTAAATTAATAGCTTTCAGAAACATAGAAAATTTGTATTCTCCATACAGATGTAGTGATTCTCTTTGAAAAACGCAACTGCCTCGGATGCTAATTCTGTGTAATTCCTTTTTCTGGGCTTTACATTTTCCTCCTTTGATTTTTTTCTTTTTTTCAGAGCAAATTGGAGCTTTGGCCGATCAGCACATTGTCCATGTGGCATGTGGCGAGTCCCACAGTCTGGCCCTCAGTGACCAGGGCCAGCTGTTTTCCTGGGGTGCAGGTAGTGACGGGCAGCTGGGACTCATGACTACTGAGGATTCTGTGGCAGTACCCAGGTAAGAATGTCAGTTACTGTAAAGGTTATTTCCGCTAGTTTCTTTGTTAGACTCCTTGGTTTGGATCCTGGTTTCTTCTTTTATTAATAATTGTTCTTTCCTTTGAGTCACTGTCATGCCTTATACTGTTATAACAGTCGTCCCCAGAATTGTAATTGTAGAAGTGTTTGAAAGTCGCCTAGCTGTGTCCGACTCTGCGAGCCCATGGACTACACAGTCCATGAAATTCTTCAGGCCAGAATACTGGCCTTTCCCTTCACCAGGGGATCTTCCCAACCCAGGGATCGAACCGAGGTCTCCCGAGTTGCAGGCCGATTCTTTACCAGCTGAGCCACAGGGGGAGCCCAATAGAAGTGTTTATCTCCAGTTAAAAAATATGAGTTGTTTGGGAACTATACTTCATTTATCCCAATAGCCTGTTGTTGGTAGTGTTTGGAGCTCATTAAATGTTTAAATTAAAAAACCTCTTTTCACATGCTGCACTTATTAACCTTTAACTTAAAATTGCAAGCCTAAATCAATTATTCAGTTAGACACTTGAAAGGTCAGTCACAAAACTGACCTGTTACTCTTTAATAATAGGCCAAATTACCTTCAGCATTATCAACAGCTAATATACCAAATACACATAAGTTCTTTAACACAGAAGTACTAATACAATGGTTTTTAGTCCCTTAAGTATTTACTTAATTCTAAATCTTTTATGAAGGGCTTTACCGGTGGCTCAGTGGTAAAGAATCCATCTGCCAGTGCAGGAGACTCAAGTTTGATCCCTGGGTCAGGAAGATTCCCTGGAAAAGGAAAGGGGCAACCCACTCCAGTATCCTTGCCTGGAGAATCCCATGGACTGAGGAGCCTGGCAGGCTGTAGTCCATGGGGTCGCAAAAGAGTCAGACACCACTTCGTGACTAAACAGCAACAAAATCTTAGATGATTTGGCTAATTATCTAACAGATGCTTCACCACTAAGAAAATGTCCGTAGTATTGAAGTTGCTCTCAAGGGGACGTTTTGGGGGTGGCGTCTGTTTGTTGAGGGTTCTTAATGGTCAAAGAGGCCACTGGTTTATTTCCTTCATTTAATTCCTAGTCCTTTGTACTTCAAACATACAACGTTCTCCTATTGCAGTACTAGTTACATTCATTGCAGTGTTTAATTTAATAACTAATTTTAGTACAAAGCTGGGAGCTCTTGATGCCAGGAGAACTGGATTATTTATTTTAGCATCACCATTGCTAAGGGTGCTCTAGCACGTGCATGGCTCAGTATAGGTCTGGTTAATAAATGGCCTCTCCTCCCCTGCCCAAGTATTGTCCCTTTTAAAGCACAATACATTCTTCCTCCTCCTCCGTTTTGCCCTTCTTAGATTTTTGTCTCTTTAATCAAAAGCTGTTTTAGGGAAAAGAGAAACATGGAGGTAAGAGTAATTTGATTCATTTCCTGTTCCAACTAGGTAATATCTTAGATTCATTACTTTCAATACTTAGTTTAATTTTGGGAGAAGAAGATGAGTGGAAATTTTTAAAAAGGGATAGTTTATTTTAGTGAATTGCATGTAATATTAAGGAAAAGATTTACAATATTCATGACAAAAATATTTCACTGATTGATGAACAAATACTCAAGTCATTAGTGGCATTTCATTTCAAAAAATGAAGTAGTCTGTGTTAGAGTAGCAATTTATTATTGTTTGTATTAGTTATGCATATATTATGGATGACTTCTGAGGCTTTAGTTTGTATATAATTTTACAAGTTAATTAAGATAAATTCATCAATTCCTATCTTAATATTGTGGAAAGTAACATAGCTTTGATATTAGACAGCCTCAGATTCCAGTATTGGCTCAATTTCATATTAGGTGAGTTGCTTTGAGCAAATTGTTTAACTTCTCTGAGCCTCAGTTTCCTAACTTAAAAGTGAAGTTATGTAGTATTGTTTACCTTTACCAAGTTGTTGGGAGGATAGAGTAAGATGGGTAGGTAAAACACAGTGTATGCTTGTGCATATATGGCTCCTTTTCTCCATCTTATGATACAATTTCTTATTCTTTCTTTTGACCTTTTTTTTTTGTAACTGTGATTGTGAAAGTTGTGATAAGGGTAATGGTGACCCATAAAGGGAGAAGTGTGGGGAATTTGCGTGGAAACTGGCCAGGAAAAGGACTCTTGTTGCATAAAGTTCTGAAACATTGGTCCCTAAGACAGGATGACCTTTTTCAGTTTTAAAAAATAGTGGGTTTCTGGGCTGCCCTGGTGGTTCCGTGGTAAAGAACCTGCCTGCTAGTGCAGGAGACAAGGATTTGACCCCTGGTCTGGGAAGACCCCACATCTGCAGAGCAGCTAGGACCCTGCGCCACTACTGTTGAGCCTGTGCTCTAGCCCCTGGGAGGCACAGCCGCTGAGCCCAGGCATGTCCTGGAGCCTGTGCTCCACAACAGGGGAAGCCACCGCGGTGAGAAGCCTGCACACGGCACCTCGAGAGGAGCCCCTGCTGGCCCCCGCTAGAGAAGGGCCTGCGGAGCAACGAAGACCCAGCGCGGCCATAAAGAGAAGAAATGCTTTTTAAAAATAGCGGGATTCTACAAGCTGTTGATATATGCAGCAGAAAAATGGTTGCGTGTATATCAAATGTCCAGGGAATTATTCTGAGTGAAAAAGAACCCAGTCCTAAAAGGCTGCCAACTATATGATTCCATTTACATAACATTCTTTAAGTGACAACATTTTGGAAATGACGGGTAGACTAATGATTGCCGGGGGCTGTGATGGAGGAGGGGAGGAGTGGTTGTAAATACGAGGAATCCTTGGGTTGGAAACGTTGAATGTGGTGGTGGATGCATGAGCCTACATAGGTGACAGAAATGCTATAAGCACAGAAATGAGTACAAATAAAACTGGGGACAAAGAAGTGACATTGGTAGTTTGTATTTTTGTCAGTATCCCTGTTAACGATTTTTTTGTTCTATAGTTTTGCAAAATGTCATCACTGGGGGAGACTGGATAAAGCCTACAAGGGATCTCTATATTATTTCTTACAACTGCGTGTGAATTTACAATTATCTCCATAAAAAATAGTTGGGTTCTGTTTGGTACTAAATGCATATGTGAGCTCTAATTTATAAACTTTTTTTATATCTGAGAAAATAAACTGTTAAAGCAACATTTACCTGTTACTCTAAATAACCCCCAGTTTCCCTGTTGGACATCTATCTTGTAAAATGCCCCTCTGCGTCTTTTGTTCCCATGGCATACACTTAATGAAGAGGAACTTGGCAACCTATGAATTATTAAAATGGGAAGCAGGAGATAATTCTCAGGCTGTCAAACTCTATTGGGCAGTGCCAAACATTTTTTTCACTTAATTCTCACCACAACCCTGTGAATAGGTACTGTTCTTACCTCTTTCATATAAGCAAGCAGAGGATCGAGTTTTAAAAAGTGATCATATGATCTTCCTCTTTACCATCCTAGGGAATCAAGAGTTTTGGAAGCATTGCCCTTAGTAATTTTTAAAAATTGTGGCAAAATACACGTAACATAAAATTTACCATTGTGGGCTTCCTTGGTGGCTCAGTGGTAAGGAATCCACCTGCCAATGGACGAATCTACATGCCGTGGAGCAGCTAAGCCCATGGGCCACAACTACCGAGCCTGTTTAGAGCCCAGGAACTGCGACTGCTGAGCCCAGGCACTGTAACTACTGAAGTCTATGTGTCTAGAGCCATGCTCTGCAATGAGAGAAGCCACTATAATGAGAAGCCCATGCAAGGCTGTGAAGAGTAGCCCCTGTTCACTGCAACTAGAGAAGAGCTCTCGCAGCAACAAAGAGCCAACACGGCCAAAAATACATAAATAAAAAAATTAAAAGAATTTACCATCCTAACCATTTTAAGTGTACAGTTCAATAGTGTATTGAACTATTAGTGTACGTATATTCACACGGTTGTGTGACCAATCTCCAGAACTGTTTTTCTAGTAGAAATAGAACTCAACACTCATTAAATGAAAACTCATTTCTCCTCGTCTAGCCCCTGGCAGGCACCATTAGACTTTTGATTTGTATGAATTTGGCTAGTGTAGATATGTCATGTAAATGGAACCATGGACTATTTGTCTTTTTGTTACTGGCTTATTTCACTAGGCATAATTCCAGGTTTCATCCACGTTGTAGCATGTGTCAGAATTTCCATTCTTAAAGAGTGTGATGAATATTCCATTGTATACATATTCCAAATGTATATACCACATTTTTTTTTCTGGTCATCGGTTGATGGACAGTTGGGTTGCTTCCACCTTACAGCTTTTGTGAATAATGGTGCTATGAATATGGGTATACAGATATCTCTTTGGGACCCTGCTTTCAGTTCATTTGGTTTTGTACCTGGAAGTGAGGTTGCTAGATCATGCCATTTCTCTCATTTGAAAGCCATTTAGATACCAACCATGTTCTTAGGGTATGTCTTTGGCACCTTACTCCTTTTGTCTATAAATTGGAGATGACAAGGTAGAAATTAACACAGAGTTGTGGTCATGGGTTTAAGTGCAGAGCAGGGTTTCTTTCTTTTAAATGGTAACTACCAAAGATGCAGGAGGTTAGTGAAAGACTTAATAGAACTTTATCATGTGAGATCATATATTTGATTTTAAAAAGTGTTTTGTGAAACATGTTATTTATTACAACTATTTTATTTAGTTGGGAATATTTCCAGTCATTGTGAATGCCCTTCTTAAAAGGAAAGTCTTTTCTGTTTTAGGTTAATACAAAAGCTGAACCAGCAGACAATATTACAAGTTTCCTGTGGCAACTGGCATTGCTTGGCTCTTGGAGCTGGTAATGTAACGTTAAAATCTATGCTAGTGTTGTGTTAATTTGGGAACCATTTCTCTTTGTATTTTTATGTGATGTGATGGAACCGGAGACATTTAACTAACTAGTTAGGGTCTATGCATTCCTGTTGGACAGAGACAGTTCTAAGACAGCCCTTGTGTAGCTCATACTTTTCCCAGGGTGTGGATGATGAAGTGGTCCACTGAAGTGGTTATCACTGCTGTTCCACCTCTCAGGGAAAGTCAGCAGGAGGCAAGACTGTTCATCAGTGTACTTGAACAGGGGATTGGTTTTTATTAGCTATAACTCATATGGCTATTCCACCATAAAGCACACAAATAAATGAAGAAGATGAAGTTAGGAAAACCTAAGCCAACATATGCTGCTATATTCTGTTAGGATAAATTTGTGGGGAAGTCAGCACTAACACGTCCTGCTTGATTCTCTGTGGTGTTGTCCGGATCATAGCTGGACCCTGTGAAGTCCCGTGTCTCTTGTAGTCCTGGTATGGTCAGAACTAGTTCCCTTTGCTTAGTGCATCTAAGCCTGATAATTGGCCTATTCTACACTGAACTGATTTAAACATTTAGTTTTTTCTTTTCATAAATATTAATGGCCTTTGAAGGATGTTGATCTCTGTTATCAAGACAAGTGGGAGTTCTGATGGTGAGATTCTCACACCATGAAGTGTGTCTGCTTCCTTGCTCTTGGGTGTGTGTTGCAGGGAGGGCAACAACAAGTGAGCCTCAGGGGAACTCCGTTGTTCTAATAAGTTTATATTTGTGAATGGAACTTGTATCTTTCTGGTAATACCAGTTATCTTCTTCTGATTTCAGATGGCCAGTTCTTCACGTGGGGGAGAAACAGCCATGGGCAGTTGGGCCTGGGGAAGGAGTTCCCTTCCCAAGCCAGTCCACAGAGGGTGAGGTCCCTGGAGGGGATCCCGTTGGCGCAAGTGGCTGCAGGAGGGGCCCACAGCTTTGCCCTGTCACTCTCAGGAGCTGTATTTGGCTGGGGGATGAATAATGCAGGGCAGCTCGGGCTCAGTGATGAGAAAGGTGGGTGAAGTCTTCATGTGGCCCTCTTAACTTCATTTGTTTAGTACATGCTTCCTGAGGAGCTTCTGTGTGCTTGCCCCGTGTCAGGCACTAAGGGTGCAGCAAGGACCAAAACAGAAAATACCCTTGACTTAGTGGAGACTGCATGCTAATGGGCAGACACAGACAACAAACCAGTATGTGTACAGTGGAAACAGTGACAGATTTTGTTTTCTTGGGCTCCAAAATCACTGTGGATGGCGACTGCAGCCATGAAATTAAAAGATGCTTGCTCCTTGGAAGAAAAGCTGTGACTAACCTTCGACAGCATATTAAAAAGCAGAGACATTACTTTGCCGACTGAGGTCCATCTAGTCAAAGCTATGGTTTTTCCAGTAGTCATATATGGACGTGAGAGTTGGACCGTAAAGAAGGATGAGCACTGAATAATTGATGCTTTTGAACTGTGGTGTTGGAGAAGACTCTTGAGACTCCCTTTGACAGCAAAGAGATGAAACCAGTCAATTGTAAAGGAAATCAACCCTGAATATTCATTGGAAGGACTGATGCTGAAGCTCCAATACTTTGGCCACCTGATGCGAAGAACTGAATCATTGGAAAAGACTCTGATGCTGGGAACGATTGAAGGCAAGGGGAGAAGGGGGTGACAGAGGATGAGATGGTTGGATGGCATCACTGACTCAATGGACATGAGTTTGAGCGAGCTCCAGGAGATGGTGAAGGACAGGGAAACCTGGCGTGCTGCAGTCCGTAGGGTCTCAAGGAGTCAGACAGGACTGAACAAGAACAAATGTATGCAGTATGTCAGAGGCTTTGGGAGGAAAGTTTCCTATTTTACATAAGGTACCCAGGGAGGGCCTCTTGAATAAGATGTTTAGCAGAGCCCTGTAGGAAGTCCAGTAGAAGAGGAGGTGTTTAGAGGAGCTGGGTAAAAACTGTTCCCGGTCAGAGGGAGCAGGGTGTGCAGAGGCTCTGATGTGGGAGCAATCATGGTAGGCTTGGGGATGAGATGAGCAGGGCGAAGAGAAGCGGAGCTGGAGCTCTGAGAGGAAGGGAGCCCCTGCAGTGTAGGGCCCTGAAGGACAGGGTAAGGATTTTGGCTTCTCTCGGTGAAAGAGGAGGACACCGAGGGTGTTGAGGGGGAAGAGTAATCTGATTTGACTTTGCCTAGAATCGGGCCATGGGGCAGCTAGAAGACCACTTTGGAGGCAGTGGGAATAAAGACAGATTTTGAATATATTCTGAAGGTAGGGCCAGTTGTTTTTCCTCATTGTTGGATGTACTTTGAATTAAAGAGAGGAAAAAGTGGAAGGGTGAAGCTGCATTTATGAAATGAGGAAAACTGTATGGGGAAGTAGGGAGGAAGGTGGGCAGAGTCGGGGAGTGTGGGGAATTGGGCTTTAAATATGTTAAAAATGAGATGTCTGTTAGACATCCAAGTGGAGGTTCAGGCAGCAAGCTGAAGAGGAGAATCAGGAATCAAGGGGGACCCAAAATTGAGGCTAAGAGAACTGTGCATATTTCATCTCAAAGACAGATGATACTGACTTTCTGATATTTCTCTTTTTCTAGATCGAGAGTCTCCTTGCCATGTGAAGCTCCTGCGAACACAGAAAGTCGTCTATATCAGTTGTGGAGAAGAACATACAGCAGTTCTTACAAAAGTAAGGGACTTCAGTATTCTGGTTTGTTCTATGGTACTGTTAGGATGATTATCACTGCTTGATTATTTTTGATAGTGTCTTTTAGAGTAGGAATAGTATATAAAAATAATTCTATATCGATAACCTTGAAATACATATAGCGATATTCTGTGTTCCTAAGCTGTAATCAACATTGCATGCAGAAATACCAATAAGCTCAGATGTGCAGATGATACTACCCTTATGGCAGAAAGTGAAGAGGAATTAAAGAACCTCTTGATGAAGGTGAAAGAGGAGAGTGAAAAAATTGTCTTAAAACTCAACATTCAAAAAATGAAGATCATGGCATCTGGTCCCGTCACTTCATGTAAATAGATGGAGATACAATGGAAGCAGTGAGAGACTTTATTTTTTTGGGTTCCAAAATCACTGTGGACGGTGACTGCAGCCATGAAATTAAAAGATACTTGCTCCTTGAAAGAAAAGCAATGACAAACCTAGACAGCATATTAAAAAGCAGAGATACTACTTTGCCAACAAAGATCCATCTAGTCAAAGCTATGGTTTTTCCAGTAGTCATGTATGGACGTGAGAGTTGGACCATAAATAAAGCTGAGCACCTAAGAATGATGCCTTCCAACTGTGGTGCTGGAGAAGACTCTTGAGACTCCCTTTGACAGCAGAGACCAAACCAGTCAATCCGAAAGGAAATCAACCCTGAATATTCACTGAAAGGACTGATGCTGATGCTGCAGTTCCAATACTTTGACCACCTGATGTGAAGAGTCAAATCATTGGAAAAGATCCTGATGCTGGGAACGATTGAAGGCAGGGTGAGATGGTTGGATGGCATCACTGACTCAATGAACAAGAGTTGGAGCAAACCCTGGGAGATGGTGAAGGATAGGGAAGCCTAGAGGGCTGCAGTCGGTGGGGTCACAAAGAGTTGGACATGACTGAGCAACTGAATGACGAAAAAAGAAAGAGCAGTGTAATTAATGTTTTAACATTATTCAACCTATTTCTTTTGCTTCTAAGACAGTCATATCTAGAAAGAATGAAAAAGTATTTTCATGTTGAACAAATTGTTATAGATTCACTTTAGTAAAGTGCTTTAGTGTTTGTTCAAGTATAGCTGCTAAAAAAAATCTTACTAAAGAATCTGTGGAGCATTTAATTTCTTACATAAGAATAGTCATGTAAAGTTCATCTCATTTCACCTACCTTTTTCTCCTTTTTTTGTATTCTTGTTTATTAACATGGTTGTACTTTTAGACTACTTTTAAAATGTATATATAGATGGCACACATTCCCTTGAACAGTACTGTCTTTGTTCCATAAAGATGTAGTCTTAAAATCTTTTTTAAAATCTCTTTTCTATTTAGAGAACATTCCAAAGAAGTGATTTGTCTAAGAGTCAAGTGGGCATAGTGTTCTTGTACAGACTGTTGTGATATGAATTTTGTATACAGAAGTTAAGAGGAGTGTATCCAAACTCAGAGACACAGTGCACTTATGTGGTGTTTGCTCCTTGTTAGAGTGGAGGTGTGTTTACCTTTGGTGCTGGTTCCTGTGGGCAACTTGGACATGATTCCATGAATGATGAGGTCAATCCAAGAAGAGTTCTGGAGCTGATGGGCAGTGAAGTCACTCAAATTGCTTGTGGCAGGTGAGTGCTCCTAAGAACTTCCTCAGATCTATTAAGACTCAGAAATGGATCTTGTCTTTGTAGTGATGTGGCTACTTCTAACCAGCATTGTTTTAAGAAATCAACTGCATGCATACCTATGTTGAAAATTTGGAGAGAGTTCAATCTGAGCAGGGTGTGGCAAGGAAGGGTTTTAGAGAAGCAGAGCTACATGGGGCCAGTATAGTTCTTTGGGGACAAAGGATAGCCTGACGTGAGGGAGACATGTAGAAAGGAAAGTGAGAGAGCCTCAAAGAAATCTTGGAAATTTTGCTGATTTTCCCCGCCTCTTTCTGTTCATCCCAAATGCAGCAGGCCCTTAAACTCTTTCCAGGTCTTACCCCCATCCCAATGACCTAGTATATCAGTGAAGGGTGGTATTATGAAGATCCAGCATTGCAAAAACAAGCATGTGTAAACATGAGGGGGTAGGCTTCTGAGGTCACCTGTAGGAATTACTGTGCTCACACATGGTTGTTAAAAGTCAGTGTGTGTATTCATTCTTTATCGGTAGAAGCAATGCCGTTGGGTTAACTTATGTTATTTCCCCCAGACAACACACCCTAGCCTTTGTGCCTTCTTCTGGACTCATCTATGCATTTGGTTGTGGAGCCAGAGGCCAACTAGGAACTGGACACACTTGTAACGTCAAGTGCCCTTCTCCTGTGAAAGGTTACTGGGCCGCCCACAGTGGCCAGCTTTCAGCCAGAGCTGGTAAGGGTGATGTTTATTGAAATTTAATGGTGTTTTAAGTGCTAAAACCACTTGTTATAGAACATGTGTTTTTTTTTTTTTAACCTTCAGTTCTTTTGGAGGGAATAAATATGAGATATTCTAATGTCAGTCAACAAATATTTGAGCACTTACTATCTACAGTTGAGATTCTAGAGAATAAAGCAAAAATTCTATTTTGGCCATAAGGATTTTGATTGTGGTATATACATTTTATTTACTATTGTTGCCTATAATGAAAATTTATATTTATTGAAGGCTTAACCAAGTTCCACTACCATGCTAAGCACTGAAAACAACCTTAAGAACTAGTAGCTGTTATCCCCATGTTGGAGATGAGGAAACTGAATCTTATGGAGGTTAAGTAGCTTGCCCAAAATGATGTAGATTCTGGGGGCAGAATTTAAACCCAGGCCCGCCTCTTTCTAAAACCTGTGTTCTTTTTAATTTCTAAAAATTTTACAGTTTAAAAAAGTTGCACTCAATTTACAGGCATCACAAAATATTGGCTGTATTCCTTGTATTGTACAAAACATCCTTGTAGGCTGCCTCACCCTCAGTAGACTGTACCTACCGCCCCCCAACTCTGTCCTACCCTCTCCCACCACCTGCCACTGCTCACCACCAGGTTGTTCTCTGTGAACTTTAAAGCCAGTGCTTTCAATGCTGAGCTCTTGTTACCTTCCCTTTACGATTGCTATTTTGGTCACAATATGACATGAGTTTTTTTTCATGGCATTTCTGTTTCTTCTCTTAAAAAATAGTTAAGTAACACAGTGTTCATTTCACTGGAAATCAAAATAAGGCAGTCATTCAGTAAGAGTAACTTGAAGCAATAAATCCAGAAGCTTAAATGGAGATGGAGAGTCATTACAAAGAAGTGTGATTTAATAACTGATTTCGATTTTGAAGACTATAAAGGGGCACAGTTATGGCTTAATCAGAATTTTAACAATAACAACCATAAGTACCCTTCTGGAGTATGAGAAACTTAAGTACAGGGAAGGCCTCCCTGATAACTAAGTTGGTAAAGAATCCACCTGCAATGCCGGAGACCCTGGTTCAGAGTCATTTCCTGTTTGTAAACCTGGCATATAGCACAGGGTCTGGCACAACCATTTCACTCAGTAAATATTCATGGAATGAATATATGAGCATCTAAGAATGTAGTGGAACTTGAAATGTAAAATAAATAAGATTTTGTTTTGATCATGTTCCCCAAAGTGGAAAAATGGCTAGGTGTCCTCTTATCTGTCATTTATAAATTTCTTTTTCTCTAAGGCTAACATTTCTCTTTCTCTAACATTGTACTCATCTTAGGGAGCATATATTTAAGAAATACACCAATTTTTAAAAACTCCACTATGTAGGTTAATTTTAAACCACAAAGTTTTCAAAGTTTAATTACAGGATAAAACTTATAATGTAAGTAGGTGAATTTCAATTTGTTATATGATGCTGGTTTTAGGAACCTTCATGGTAATTTGGGAGCATAGTGTTCCTGAGAGAGGAAGTTTGAGCTGTGTCTTAAAGGGTGGTTTGGCCTTAGCCAGGTGGAGGACGGTGAAGGGGTAGGCTGTGGTGAGTGCCATGGAACTGCGCGATTCCAGGAGCACCTTTCCATCATGCTCTAGGGGGCGCCATTCCGGAGAACACAGTGTGCTCTGGGGGTGGCGGAAGGGACAGGCATGGAGGTGTGAAGTAGTGTGGCGTATTAGAATTGAGTGAGACGGTGGGCTGAGAGTGTCGCTGTGGGCGCGGTGTGATGGGAGGCAAAGCGGAAGCAGGACGTGGAGGTCCATCTATCCCGCGAGCTTCATCCGGAAGTGGCTGCAGACCTCCACGCTCAGATGCTGTAAGTGGTGTCATAGCTGACGTTTCGGTTTATAGTAGTGACTGTTTTAAACTTCAGTGTCATGACAGAGTTAGAATGAAAAAATAGAAACGAGGTCAGGACTACATGGCAGTTGGCAGGAGGAAGAGGGGGTTAGAGTGGAAGATACAGTTTTATATGTGTAGTTTTTACTGAAGTAGAAACAGTCCTGGGAAGAGAGTCAGGAGAGGAGGTTTCTTACTTCTCTGACATAATTAAATAAATAGGAAACCACTCAGAAACATATTTTGGAATGTTAGAAAAGGGGATCAAGGAAAAAGTTTAACTGTTGAAAAACATGCTCTTGAAAATTTTTTGACAGATCGCTTTAAATATCATATTGTTAAGCAGATCTTCTCTGGAGGAGACCAGACTTTTGTACTTTGCTCCAAATATGAGGTAAAATTTTCTTTTGACTATTATCTTGGGGGTGGAATAATGGTGAGCCAATATTTATTTTAATGAATAATAATTACATGAGAACAGCATTACTGTTTTTATATTTTATATTATTAAAATAAGCTGACTAAACTTTGAAGTAATCTCCATTTTGTTTCCTTGAAGTGCCAATAATTTTCTTGGTATTTAATCACAGAGTTCTACTTTATAATTGACAATTATTTATTTATATCTGGATTTGTCCCAAAAGAGACTTAAGGAGGCCTCAGAGAATTCATACTAACTTTGGGATTATTTGACTTTCTATTGTTTCCTTCCCTATTAAGTAGCAACAAATGCTAGGTATTTGAGAACTCACTGGGCTTGTTTGATGTGATTGAGTATATACTGAATATAAGAGGTGCCATCCAGATATCCTTTATTATTTATCGTCTGCTTATAAAACCACACTAAAATTTCCCTCAGGTTGTCTCCTGCATCTCTGTGGTGGGCGAATGACATTCTCTTAGGGTTGGAGGTGGAAGAGAACGTGGGCTAAGTATCGGTGTTGTTGTTCAGTTGCTAAGTTATGTCCGACTCTGTGACCAGGTGGACCTCAGCACACCAGGCTCCCCTGTCCTTCAGTATCTCCCGAAGTTTCTCAGACTCATGTCCATTGAGTCGGTGATGCTATCCGTGACAGGGCTTTAATTCATTCCCCTCTTTCTGGATGAGAAAAATCATTCTGAAGTGAGCACCACAGGTTTGTTTTCTGTCCTCTACACCCTGCTGCTCTTATGCTTCTCTCCTTTCTTCCTCCCTTCCCTTCCCTTCCCCTGACCCTTCTTTTATTCAGTCAGCGCTTGGGGAGGATTAGCCATATGTAGTGCATTGATCCTCACTTCCCCTGGAAGAGCAGGGAAGGGCTGCTGGTGATGACAAAGGAATCAGAGTAGCTTGGGAAGAAAAATGAAGTTCTGTGGACACAAGGGCCCTGTTGGTGCTGGAAACTATCCCCATTATTCTGATACTGTGCGATCTCTCAACACACGATATTCTTGCCTTCTAGTCAGTATCATTCTCGGTGACTTTGATAGAAAAGGTTGTGGAGTCTGAGGCTGCAGGTTGGATAGCTGATACTGACGTTAGATATTATCCAGGTCAGGATGCTGCAGAAGGTTCTGTTGAGTGCAGCCATCTGGACTGAGTTGGAGCTGTTGCTGCAGACCTATTTTAGGCCCAGCTTCAGTGCTTCACAGAGGAACCTTGACAAAAGCTGAAACTATTCTTTGTTTTTTTAACATGCCAGTAAGGCAAAATATGAAAAGCCCTGAATCTTTGTGGGATAATTACTTTGTGTCCACAAGTAGTATAGTCTGAAGTATTCCTTTCTCTAAGAAAGTGGTTTGATTAACCAACTTTAATTTTCCTGTGAAATTCAGTGTAAAACTTAGTTTCATTCCTTTTGTAAATATGGTATCTGATATATGTAGTTGAATTTTAAATTTACTGTAATTAACATTGTTGAAACCAGAAAACTAAACATTGATTAGAAGGAAGTGAAAGTAGCATATTGTTGTAGAAACAGGGCAGGTTAAAGTTTAAACAACTGGAAGAGTGGTATGCATTAAAAATGTAAGATAAAGAAAAAAGCAACTGAAAATAGAATATGACTTAGAAAGGTATTGCTCTTTCTTACAAACACTGAAACCCATACACTTTTATTTACGCTATTAAGCCTAGGTATTTGTTTAGATGCAGAGATTGGTCAAAATATGTGTTTACTCTGTTACTGTGACACATGAAGAATCTCTTAATGACCCAAGAAAAAGCATCTGTGTAGTGACAAACTCCATTTTTATAAGACACTCTTAAGATTTACTTCAGTTCAGTTCAGTCCAGTCCTCAGTTGTGTCCAACACTTTGCGACCCCATGGACTGCAGCATGCCGGGCTTCCCTGTCCATCACCAACTGCCAGAGCCTACTCAAACTCATGTCCATTGAGTCAGTGATGCCACCCAACCATCTCATCCTTTGTCGTCCCCTTCTCCTCCTTCCTTCAATCTTTCCCAGCATAAGGGTCTTTTCCAGTGAGTTGGTTCTTTGCATCAGGTGGCCCAAGTGTTGTAGTTTCAGACTCAACATCAGTCCTTCCAATGAATATTCAGGACTGATTTCCTTTAGGATTGACTGGTTGGATCTCCTTGCAGTCCATGGGACTCTTAAGAGTCTTCTCTAGCACCACAGTTCAAAAGCATCAGTTCTTTGGTGCTCAGCTTTCTTTATAGTCCAACTCTCACATCCATACATGACTACTGGAAAAACCATAGCTTTGAGTAGACGGACCTTAGTTGGTAATGTCTCTGCTTTTTAATAAGCTGTCTACGTTGGTCATAGCTTTTCTTCCAAGAAGCAAGCGTCTTTTAATTTCATGGCTACAGTCACCATCTGCAGTGATTTTGGAGCCCCCAGAAATAAAGTCTGTCATTGTTTCCCCATCTATTTGCCATTAAGTGATTAGACTGGATGCCATGATCTTAGTTTTCTGCATGTTGAGTTCTAAGCCAACTTTTTCAGTCTCCTCTTTCCCTGTCATCAAGAGGCTCTTTAGTTCTTCTTTGCTTTCTGCCATAAGGGTGGTATCATCTGCATATCTGAGGTTATTGATATTTTTCCTGGCAATCTTGATTCCAGCTCGGGCTTCATCCAGCCTGGCATTTCACATAATGTACTCTGCATATAAGTTAAATCAGCAGAGTGACAATATGCAGCCTTGACATACTCCTTTCCTGATTTGGAACCAGTCTGTTGTTCCATGTCCAGTTCTAACTGTTGCTTCTTGACCTGCATACAGATTTCTCAGGAGGCGGGTCAGGTGGTCTGTTATTCCCATCTCTTTTAAGAATTTTCCAAAGTTTGTTGTGATCCACACAGTCAAAGGCTTTGGCATAGTCACTAAATCAAAAGTAGATGTTTTTCTAGAACTTTCTTGCTTTTGCGATGATCCAATGAATGTTGGCAATTTGATCTCTGGTTCCTCTGTTTTTTCTAAAACCAGCTTGAACATCTGGAAGTTCATGGTTCATGTATTGTTGAAGCCTGGCTTGGAGAATTTTGAGCATTACTTTGCTAGCATGTGAGATGAGTGCAATTGTGCAGTAGTTTGAACATTCTTTGGCATTGCTTTTCTTTGGGATTGTAATGAAAACTGATATTTTCCAGTCATGTGGCCACTGCTGAGTTTTCCAAATTTGCTGGCATATTGAGTGCAGCACTTTTCACAGCATCATCTTTTAGGATTTTAAATAGCTCAACTGGAACTCCATCACCTCTACTAGCTTTGTTTGTACCGATGTTTCCTAAGGCCCACTTGACTTATCATTCAGGGATGTCTGGCTCTAGGTGAGTGATCACACCATCGTGGTTATCTGGGTCATGAGGCTCTTTTTTGTATAGCTCTTCTGGGTATTCTTGCCACCTCTTTTTAATCTTTTCTGCGTCTGTTAAGTCCATACCATTTCTGTCCTTTATTGTGCTCATCTTTGCATGAAATGTTCTCTTGGTAGCTCTGATTTTCTTTCTTTTTTTTTTTATTTATTTTTATTAGTTGGAGGCTAATTACTTTACAGTATTGTAGTGGGTTTTGTCATACATTGACATGAATCAGCCATGGAGTTACATGTATTCCCCATCCTGATCCCCCCTCCCACCTCTCTTTCCACCCGATTCCTCTGGGTCTTCCCAGTGCACCAGGCCCGAGCACTTGTCTCATGCATCCAACCTGGGCTGGTGATCTGTTTCACCCTAGATAATATACATGTTTCGATGCTGTTCTCTTGAAACATCCCACCTTTGCCTTCTCCCACAGAGTCCAAAAGTCTGTTCTGTACACCTGTGTCTTTTTCTGTTTTGCATATAGGGTTATCATTACCATCTTTCTAAATTCCATATATATGTGTGAGTATGCTGTAATGGTCTTTATCTTTCTGGCTTACTTCACTCTGTATAATGGGCTCCAGTTTCATCCATCTCATTAGAACTGATTCAAATGAATTCTTTTTAACGGCTGAGTAATATTCCATGGTGTATATATACCACAGCTTCCTTATCCATTCGTCTGCTGATGGGCATCTAGGTTGCTTCCATGTCCTGGCTATTATAAACAGTGCTGCGATGAACATTGGGGTGCACATGTCTCTTTCAGATCTGGTTTCCTCGGTGTGTATGCCCAGAAGTGGGATTGCTGGGTCATATGGCAGTTCTATTTCCAGTGTTTTAAGAAATCTCCACACTGTTCTCCATAGCGGCTGTACTAGTTTGCATTCCCACCAACAGTGTAAGAGGGTTCCCTTTTCTCCACACCCTCTCCAGCATTTATTGCTTGTAGACTTTTGGATAGCAGCCATCCTGACTGGCGTGTAATGGTACCTCATTGTGGTTTTGATTTGCATTTCTCTGATAGTGAGTGATGTTGAGCATCTTTTCATGTGTTTGTTAGCCATCTGTATGCCTTCTTTGGGGAAATGTCTGTTTAGTTCTTTGGCCCATTTTTTGATTGGGTCATTTATTTTTCTGGAATTGAGCTGCAGGAGTTGCTTGTATATTTCTGAGATTAATCCTTTGTCTGTTGCTTCGTTTGCTGTTATTTTCTCCCAATCTGAGGGCTGTCTTTTCACCTTGCTTATAGTTTCCTTTGTTGTGCAAAAGCTCTTAAGTTTCATTAGGTCCCATTTGTTTATTTTTGCTTTTATTTCCAATATTCTGGGAGGTGGGTCATAGAGGATCCTGCTGTGATTCCTGTCGGAGAGTGTTTTGCCTATGTTCTCCTCTAGGAGTTTTATAGTTTCTGGTCTTACATTTAGATCTTTAATCCATTTTGAGTTTATTTTTGTGTATGGTGTTAGAAAGTGTTCTAGTTTCATTCTTTTACAAGTGGTTGACCAGTGTTCCCAGCACCACTTGTTAAAGAGGTTGTCTTTTTTTCATTGTATGTCCTTGCCTCCTTTGTTGAAGATAAGGT